GAGAGAGAGAGAGAGAGAGAGAGAGAGAGAGACGTACCCCACGCACATAATTTGTGTCCATTTCCACAAATATGTGTTGGTAATTGTATTGGTTTGCAATATCAGTAGGGTTTCAGGGACTTAACTGACAGAGAAGGCAGTTTTCCCAAATTGAGTGGTAATATATGAGTAGAACAATATTCATAACTTTAGTGTATGCTTTAACAAAGCCCCACACAAAAATGGAAACATGTACATTCCCTGTGCCTATAAGGGGCAGAGTCATATGCATTCTGGAGGAAGTCCTAAGAAGTTACATGAACTGTCTCCAGACCTGTGTGAGGCTGGCAAAACACAGGGTGTTTCCACAAGCACTAAGGTGAAGGGTAAAGAAGAGTGGGTTGCATCCCTTCCCCTGTGTACATCAGCTTAATAAATATTTTGCTTCTCTAAAATTATTTTAAAATCTTTTTTTCCCTTTTGTGAAGTTGAACTAAGAGACTATCAGATACTTTGGCATTATATATCTAGTAGAAATCTTTCCCATTTTGACACTATCATTTCATCAGTTTATGAAATGTGTTGTTAAAGAGAGTTTATCTGTCAGATAAGAATCTGAATTTGAGTAGTACCAAAACTGTCATAGGTTGTAATTTTTAAAACATTCAGTTCTAGTAAAATTAATTAAGGGCTAGAACCTGGGTCAGTATTCTGTTACAGAGCTGTATAATTTGTTATCGAAAGCATATTGTGGAACATTCCCTGAAATTTTGCTTTTTGTGTGTGTGACATTCCTTATTTGAGTGTTCTTCAGCTGAATTATTGTTCTTTTTTAGTAACTGATACAGGCAAACAAAGGACCTAATTCCTGTAAACATGGATGTCATTATGAATATAAAAAAATGTTTATTCTCTTCTCCCCTGAGGCGTGGAAGATGTGTTCATCAGCTTTGTAGCTGCTGTTCCTCTCTGCTCATAGAAATCTAGTTTGGATGTGGTCTGGAAGCTGAGTGTTTAGAATTGAGTTATCTATGAGCTTCTTGATTCTGTGAGGTGAGGACACCTTTGGGGCCAGGGCCAATCATGGTAACAGGCACATAAGCTCTTCCAGAACCTTTTATGTCTCTTGTGGTCCATCTTTCAAGAACATTCTTGATGATGTGGTTATTAGGCCTATGAATTGCTATTGGGTGACATTTCTTGTGTGCTATGCAAATGTAGTATTCATAGGAGGTAGAGAGGTCCCCAGCCCTGAGCTGGGTCCCTGGCCTCTAGAGTGTCCTGCCCTTCCCCAGCAAGGCATCTATGCTTTGCTTCATCTGGTAGCTGTATCCTGCTGTGACAGAGGAGGTCTAGGAAGTAATTTGCATGTTTATTGGGGGACATGTCAGTGATAGGAAATACATTGGAATGCCCTGGCATCTGGCAGTGTTGTCCCCACGTGGGCTTCGTGTGCCATTGGGGAGTGGTAAAAAGCTGCCATGCACCAGCTGTGTAAATATTGGAACTCCTTTACAGAGGGAGCTCAAATGTCACCTCTCCTTTACTAACATTTGAAAACAGTATTACTCTGATTAGTTGGGCCACCTTTTTATCTGGCAGCATTCGCTGCTCCAGCTGTTGTTGGCCTAGCACTGCCCACACAGCGAAGGATCTCTCATGGGTGCAGTGGCAGGAGGGACAGCAGCTGGTCCTTCTCTCTGGTGCTTTCTAAAAGGATCTCTAAAGTTTAGGAGTGAGGTTGGCTTCAGGGAGAGCAGAGTTCAGCTCTTCTGCCTAGCACATCTCCCAGGTTTATGTCTGTTTTCTCTGAGCTGCTTACTCCACCTGAGCTTTCTGAAGGGTGGCTGACCTTCAAATACACTGCAAATGACACTCTGAGGTGGATGTGGCTTTGGTGGAAACTGCAAAGTTGGTCTTGCATGTTTTAGAGGGTTTGTCTCTTTTCCCCGCTCCCCAATCATTTGAAAAATGAAAAACATATAGGATAAGCAGGATTAAATAAAGTGTTGTCAGTTAGGACCGGGAGAGGAGTAACATCTCTGTCAGGGAGTCCTGATATACTTCAGGCAGGGTGAGATGTCCCAGAGTGGTGCAGCAGGCAGCTCCTTGGCTAGGGTGGCATTATGGGTTCTGGTGCAGAGCCGTGGGCCGTAGAATAAACTAGTTGGGCCAGATCTGAGACTGCTCCTAACAGGGTTGCTGTGATGACCACTTGAAGGAAAGGCCCCAAGGAGGCTCATGGGCTGTAACTGAATAGGAAACTGTCCCGCACCCCCTTTTTTTTAAATGATTTTTAAATACTGTTTTTTACACTGTTCTCTTGGTACTTTTTTTAAGCTTAAGTCAGCATTGTCTTCCAGTGTTAAGGCATCCCTCGCCTCTGCATTGAACTTACGTGTCAATAAAAAGGAATGGACCATCCATTCTGAGCCAGTTCAATTAGGTGTAAATTCATACTATTTTAATTTTTTATGCAATCTGATGAGTAGATGAGCTCAGATTTAAAATTCTTAAAGCACGTTTATTGTAACAAGAATTGTTATGTATTAATACTGCAGTTTTCAATAAAGATTGACTTGTGTTGCATATTTTGGTTTTCATGATTCTTTTCATTGTAGGCTTTGTTTAGAAGTAGCTTGGCCTAATAGAGAGGTGCTGTATCTTTCCACAAGTTATGAGACTGCTAGGGGTTTGGGGAAGGTCATGTGGTCTTCAACCCCTTGGAGGCAGTGGATTGAGGGACTGTTCCCAGGTGGTTTGGGAAGGAGGCAGTTCGGGCTCCTCTTCTGGCTTCTGTAGCCAGGGTCCACCTGGGAAGTCATTCATATCCTTCCCCATTTCAGCAGGGAGAATGCTGAGGCCCAGAAAGATGGTGGACCCCAGTCCCTCAAAGTCATGTATGCCAGCTCCAGCTGAGCAGTCAGGGAAGGAAATGGACCTCCAGGTCTTGCAGACTGTCCTCCCAGCAATCCTTGGTTTCTGCAGCATTGACCCCAGTCTTCAATAGAGCCCACCCCTACCCCATACCTCTGGAATTTCTTGGCTCACGGTATTCCTTTTTTTTAAAAAAAATATCAGGGATTGAACTCTGGGGTTTCACCACTGAGTCACATCCCCATCCCTTTTTATGCTTTTATTTTGAGACAATGTCTAAGTTGCTTAAGGCCTTGCTAAGTTGCTGAGGCTAGTCTTGAACTTGCAATCCTTCTGCCTCAGCCTCCTGAGCCGCTGGATTATTATAGGCACACACCACCATGCCCCCAGCTCATTCTTTGTCTTTGGGGAAAGCCCAGGCACAGAAAGAACAGGCGCGCGCGCGCGCGCGCACACACACACGCACACACACACACACACACACACACACACACACACACCCAACAGAACGCAATGGCTGGAGCCAGATTACTTTTCACAAGTTTCTTTATGAAATTAAATGTGGCTTCTGGCTTGGAGAAGGTATAGTGCAAGAGTGACTGTCCATGCTGCTGAATCCTGTAGGGTTCCACACTGACATGCCAGGCCTGGCTGTGCTCCTGGCGCCCCTGGGCAGGATGTGGGTGCCCTCGCCACATGTCCATTGCCTGGAGTGGTTGGGTCAGTCTGGATGCTGTTGGCCCCAGAATTCAGTCCTTATGGCTTCTCACGCTCACTAGGGTAAGGCAATCTTTCTGTGTCACAACAATTAACTGTTTTTCTTCATGTTAGAAAAACAAGAGGACAAAACCCCAACAAAAACAGGAACCAGGTGGTTCTGTAGCAACCCCACAGCTACAGATGGAATGGTCACAAAACCTCGACCATTGTGGCTGACTATATGGTTTTGTTCTTCCCACTACACAACATCACGAGTGAAGAGGGTGACCAGCAATGTCTAGAGGGGCTGGGAGGTAAAAGGGCAGGTCTGGGCCAGATATTTGGGTAGAGAATTTCTGGTTCCTGTACTCCAAGGTTGCAAGTGGCCTGAAGGGACACAGCCCAGCTTTGTAGGTGGCCACTGACCATAGAGTAGGTCTCTCCTGCCTGGAGGAAACAGGAGTGGGGATGATTAGATTTCCAAAGAAACTGGTCCAAAGCAGCTAGTGCCTTCTGCATGCCGGCCTGGTAAGTGGTTCTGAGCGGTGGCTTCCCGGCTCCTGGTTAGTGAAGGCCTCAGACAGGTCCATAGTGTGGACAGAAGGGGAGAGGGTCAGAGATCAGGCTGCAGGAGGGGCTTGTATGTGCCAGGGCCCTGCCTCTCCCAGCTGGTCACTTCATTCATCAGCAGCAGGGAAGAAACCAAGCATGGGAGCACAAACCTGGTGTGCCCTGGGGGCACCAACACCTGCACACTTCCAGTTTGCAAGACGGGCAGAGAAGGATGGCCAGATGGAGTGGTCCTCAAGGAGGAAAAGCTGGGGGCTGAGGATGGGCAGGTCCACAAAGTGCTATCAGGTGGGTACTGGCTCACTTGCGGAAGGGTGTCAGCCGGCTAATGCTGTGCCAGAAGGTGGATGGCTTCCGCCTGGGCTCTGCCAGCACCAAGACCTGCTGTTGGGGCCGACTGGCAGGCAGTAATGGGTGCTTCTGGCGTGTCAGGTAACAGGGCCGGCCTACGGCTAGGCAAAGAGAAACAGCAGGGTCATGGGTGCCCCAGTGTTAGGTGGCACAGGGTGGAAGGCAGAGGGGCCCGTTCCAGAACCCTCAATTCTGCTGCATAGGATTTGTTTCCCCAGGGGTTGACCACATCCTGGGGTCCAGTCTGCCTGGAGCCTCTGGCCTGGCCCTGACCTACTACAGCCTTCAGAGATGATAGATGACCAGGGGCCCTTCTAAGGCATGTGATGTTGGCTCTTTCTATAGCAAGGGGGAAGGTAGCTGTGAGGGTGCCTGTCAGCAACCTAGGGAAGAAAAGCACTGACA